TATTAATAAATCCTTCAAGTACCTACAAGTATCGCCTTATGAAACGATAACGTGGAAGTCCCGAAATAAATTAACATGCTTTATTATATTTATAACATGACACTTTTCTATGTGATCAATGGATATAACTTATGGAATGTGAAAGCAAATCGCTTGTTATCACATGAATTCCGAAGGAATCATTCCGCAAATAATTGCTCGATTTCAATATAAAGAAAAAAATTACAAAGAACGATTAATACAGGAATATTTTCTTCTAAATGTATCAACAGAGTTTAATTCTCAAGAGATCTCAATCGATTTTGGCTTCTTGTCATCAGATTTCCCGATTTTAACCTTAAGCACACCATTCTCATGGCACGCCGAGATATCATCCAACTTCGCATTAGAGGGAAGGTTGACATTACGATAAAAATTCCCACGGATTCGTTCGCGAAGTAAAGGAGTTCCTTCTTCATCTGATTTGTGTTCACCAGAAATGCGAAGATTGTTATCGGTAACCTCGATACGAATAACTGACTTGTCGACACCCTATTTAATTATAAATAATCGAATTTCAATATACTGTATATACTGTATATAAAGAATCATAAAAAATTACGTACCGGTAAATCAGCCTTCAAAATATATTCCCTTTCACCTTCATAGATATCCATACGGGGAACGAAAGAGTTAATGCGAGGGTCAACAGTTCCTCCACGGCCAGCGCTAGAAGACATGATATTTCCATTGTCGCCGCTACCAATGAAACCGTGGTCACTTAAGAAATCGCGAACCATTTTAGAAACGCGATCTTCAAACCGATAAATTTCAGTTGACCAATCACGTGATTCTTTATCAGTTTTGGTGTTAGTAGACATGATTAGAGAAACAAACTAGTGATTTTTTAAGGGAAGAAGACAACGCTGTTGTGGGTTTTTATACTTTAAGGCCGCACCATCGATTTAAATAAATTTGTTTCTCATGATCTCATTTATTATTTCATTTTATCAAAATTTCGTAATTACGCCACCTCACAATATTTTTATATAAAGTGTAAATACGTAATTGTTATCATTACTTACACATACTATGCTATTTGAACATGTTACGATTGTTAAAATGACCGAATGAAAGTAAAGATTGCCGAGTTTTATAAATTTTCTTACTTTTATTTTGACCAGAACAAGTGAATGTAACTGGCGAAAATATTCTAAACATTTAGCAATTATTTATTACGAAAATTTATAGTAAATTTAACAAAACTTATTTTATTCTATCTTTATTAGCGCTTCTCTACATTTAACTTGTAATTACATAATAAAATTTTATTAGGCGAATGACAATAAATAAATATTCATAAAATACAAATAATTCTATCGAATAGTATGGTATTTGGCGACTCCTTTCAGTTGGGTTTCGCGGACTTCATCCCTTTTTTTTTAAAAAAAAAAGACTTTTTCGTAATGTATAGATAGGTCTCTATATTGATTTGTATGCCGACTAGAGGTAATAGACAAATATTTAATCATAGCTTTACTCGGGATGGTAGTCGAAGAACTGGGTGGTATGGACTGTTTAGCGTTAAAAAAAATTATTAATATATTATTAAACGTTTATAAATGGGATTGTATTCCCTTTAACCGTGATAAAAGTTTGGAT